AAAAAAAAAAGAAAAAAAAAAAGAAAAAAAAAAGAAAAAAATTACCCCAATCCACGCCTGCAAATTCTTCTGGAAGGATTTTTCCCCCTCTCTCCAGGTTGGGCGCGTTTGGCGCAAGATTCTCGGGATCCTCGGCGTTGTCTCTCCCTCCCCCCTCCCCCCCCCCTTCCTTTTCCTTTCCTTTCTTTCTTCCTTTCCTCCCCCCCCCCCCCCCCCCCCCCTCCTTTCCCCTTCCTTTCCTTTCTTTCTTCCTTTCCTCCCCCCACCCCCACCCCAAACAAACAAGTCCCCAATTCTCGTCCGTCCTCGCCGCGGGCTGCGGGCGGCGGAGGCAGCGTGCCGCGGTCGCCGGGAGCCGGGAGCCTCGGGCGCCCGCTCCTCGGCGCAGCATGTTCCAGCCGGCGCCCAAGCGCTGCTTCACCATCGAGTCGCTGGTGGCCAAGGACAGTCCCCTGCCCGCCTCGCGCTCTGAGGACCCCATCCGTCCCGCGGCGCTCAGCTACGCCAACTCCAGCCCCATAAACCCGTTCCTCAACGGCTTCCACTCGGCCGCCGCTGCCGCCGCCGCCGGCAGGGGCGTCTACTCCAACCCGGACTTGGTGTTCGCCGAGGCGGTCTCGCACCCGCCCAACCCCGCGGTGCCCGTGCACCCGGTGCCGCCGCCGCACGCCCTGGCCGCCCACCCCCTGCCCTCCTCGCACTCGCCACACCCCCTCTTCGCCTCGCAGCAGCGGGACCCGTCCACCTTCTACCCCTGGCTCATCCACCGCTACCGATATCTGGGCCACCGCTTCCAAGGTACGTGCCACGTCGCGGGGCTGCAGCGCGCCGCGTCCCGCACTGCCCTCGGCCTGCGCGCCGGGTGGGCGCTTGGCAAGGCCTGGGAGGAGGTTCCTCCGGCTCGCGGGCCCGCGAGCCCCGTTCGGAAACTGGGCGGCGAGGGGCCGGGCATGGTGCTGGTCCCCAGTCTTTGAAGCTGCGGCCGCTTTGGGGGCTGGCTTGGGGCCGCTGGACCCCTTAAAGAGGGGCGCAAAGGGAGAAGTTGTCCCCGAACGCTCCTGGGTGGAGACAGGCTGGGACAGCCTTCTCTGAGCGCCGGCCGCCAAGGAGTCCCGGAGCCCGCGGGGTACCCAGGCTCTCCGTCTCCTCCGCGGTGTCCTGGTTGCCCTAGCTCCGAGGGGCCACGGCCACGGCCAGGCCACCAGGTTCGCCTTTGCATAAGACCCTGTTCGCCACCCACTCTTCGTCCCTTCAAGCCTAGCCCCGCGACTTCTCAGTTTCCGACCCTCTTCGGGCGGCGAGGAGACCCTCGCGTCCCCAGAGCGTAGCCTAGGGGTTTGTTTTCCCTTTTTTTGGAGGCCTGGGGAGGGGCCTGGAACCCTCGCGGGTAGAGTAACCTCCGAGGCTCGGCACGCTCGCTGAGACCTCGAATGGGGGCAGAGTGTCCGCGGCGGGAAGGCAGGTTCTGTCTGGTTTTTGTTTTGTTTTTGATTTGTTTTTGTTTTTCTTTTAAAAGAAATGAACCCTATCGGGAGACGGGCTGGACGAAAAGATCTAAGTGTTTTCCCTTGCCATTTTTTAAAAAAAAATGTGTTTGCTTTTTTTTCTCTGAGTGGGGGTAGGACGAAAGTTAAAACTCCAGAAAAGAGGACGAGTAATTAGTTTAGTGGTCGGAGCTTGGGGGAAAAGACCTATCTCCCGCGACAGCCGATCAATACTCAGCGGCTTGTCCATTCATTAACCCTTTGCGTTCCTATCAGAACCTAAAATCCGGTAGATACCACCACCCTCCCCAATTACAAACAAAACAATACAAAAACAGCCTTTCATCCTAATTCCGGGACCGGATTTGCCTCCATTCTCTCCTAAACACTCGGTTTGTCTTTCTTTGTTTGGGTTTTTAGCGAATCGATTTCCCACCCTCCTGAGTGAACCCGAAACTATTCTGGCTTTGCTCACAAAGTTTATGGCTCCTTTCCTCATTTTCTGCCAGCTACGCCCTTGGTGCCCCCACCAGGCCCGAAGTAGCCGGGATCTTCTGGGACCGCGGACAGCCCCATAGGGCGCCCGCCACTCGGCAACCCCTGGGTTTCGATCCCTTCGCTCCTTGTAGTTCTCTGGAACGGGGCAGTGCGGAAGCCGGGTCCTCGGGAGGCAATGGCCGCGGAAACCCTGCGCACCCCCCGGCGAAATTTCAGCCCCGGCCGGGCCGCAGCCACACGCCCAGCCTCTGTACTTTCCCGGAGGGGAAGAGACTTAATACAAAATGAAGTTCCCAAGAACACTCTGCGTAGCGGCCCGCCGCCTCTCCAGCCCGGGGGTTAATGTTCCCTGAGGTCAGAAAAAAAGAGAAAGTTTCTCTGGATCTTGGGCGCCAATCCCGGGGCCTGGCTCTGCTGCCCCTCTGCCCCGGGCGCCCGGGCGAGGGGGTGGTGAGGCCGGAGGCTCCAGGGCGGCTGCGAAGCCCGCCGAGGTCAGAAGCCTGGGGACTTGTCCCGCCCGGGTAGCGCCTGGGTGGTTGCTGCACTGGTACAGGCTCCGTGTTCCGCGGCGGACAGCTGGGCCGGGCGGGCGTCCTCTTCGCCCACCTCCGGAGGGCCCCGGGTTCCCACCGGCCCAGCCGCACAGGCAGCGCGAAGGCCAGGAACGATGAGCCCCGGCAGCCCGGCTCGGGAGAAGCGAGAGGCCCCGGCCGGCCAGAGCGGTCTCCTCTAACGGGACTTCTGCTATGTCCCTGGCAGGGAACGACACAAGCCCGGAGAGCTTCCTTTTGCACAACGCGCTGGCCCGAAAGCCGAAGCGGATCCGAACCGCCTTTTCCCCGTCCCAGCTTCTGAGGCTGGAACACGCCTTTGAGAAGAACCACTACGTGGTGGGCGCCGAGAGGAAGCAGCTGGCGCACAGCCTCAGCCTCACGGAAACTCAGGTGAGGACTGCGTGCACCCCGCGATCCCATCCCACATCTCTGGCCCGGTGCAGGCGGCAGGCAAGTGCGGAGCTCCGAGAGGGCCTTTGGCAAAGAGCCTGGGAGCTGGTTCCACGCTTGGGTTCAGAATGAATCAGTTTAGAGGTGCTTGGCTTCCTTGGGTTCTAGCAAGAGATTGTAGGAGCCCACCCACCCTAGGCTCTGGGGAGACCTGCTGAGTAGCTCCCTCCTCTCCGGCTGGGCATGACCTAGAGTTCCTGGTTAATACACCTGTGTGCTTTTGCTGAGTCTTTCGGTTAGAGTCTGGGGACTCGGGGCTGGGTGCGTGGAGAAGGAGAGCACAGAAGGGTGAGGGGCAAGGTGTTGGATGCTCGAGGCTCGAGTCTGGAGATGTCTGGGAGTGGGTTAAACTGGAGTTCTGTGCCACGGCAGACCCAAGGTTCACACCGACGGCTCTAGTTACTTCCCTTGAGGGGATCAGAGAATCAGAAGGCTGAGAGGCCAGACATCCTAGGTGCGTCCCTAAATCAGCAAAACAGAGCTGGAAAGCTGCAGGGAAGGGCTGCCTCGGAGGACAGACCCCTGCGGCGCAGCAGGGCTCCGGAGGTGGGTCTGGTTCCGCCTTGCTGGGGTCAGGGAGGGGGCTTAGGGCTACAGTAGGCGCTACTGTACCCAGAGCCACAGGGCGGGGTCAAAGTTCCCGGCGAACAGTAACATTTTGGGACAGATTAAGTTGTAACACTTTTTCTGGGAGGCGCAAAGAGGTCGAGGCTTTTGTTTTAAAACGTCCCCCTGGACAAAACCGAGGAGGGCCTCGCGGGTTGTTGCGGGGCCCGACACAAGGCGCGGCCCGGCTGATTTCTCCTGGATAGCCGAGGCCGCGGTGGTCTTTGTCCGCCTCGCTGCCCACGCTGCCTGGAGTCTTTGTGTGCGTGTCAAGCCCCGAGCGCACCGACGCGCGCCTTGGGAGAGCGCCGGGGAGAAATGAACCGTCCTCCCCCTCAATTAGCAAACTCAAAGCAAATTAAACTCAGCCTTGTTCCAGCTCGGCTTTTTCATGGGGCACTTTGGGGGACTGGGGCATTGGGGAGAGCAAGCCGGGACCTGGGCCGGCCTTAGAAAAGGAGGGAGTGGGGAGGGCTTCAAGGGCCTGGGCTGCTGCTTTCAGGAAGGGACAGGCCTGGGGACAGAGGAGGTGCTGTCACCCGCATTTCCCTCACTGTACTGCACTGCTGAGAAGCTGGGACAGTGTTGGTGTCTCCTATGGTGGCTGAATGGTGACCCACGGCCCAGCACCCCCAGGGGATGATGGGGATGGCAGCCCAGCCCCACATCATTGCTCCCTGGACCTCTAGCAGCTGCTCTGGGGAGATGAGGCCTCCAGTCCAGCTCTGATGGGAAATGATGTGACCAGCATGTGAGCTTGGGCCTGGTGGGTCCTGGGGCTGGTCCGAAGGAGGGAAGGGAGGGAGCTCCACTCTTCTTTCCTCTTTCCTAGTTTCTCTCTCACTTCCTCTTTATCCCACGGTTCTTTCAGAAGCTTTCACTTTTGAGCTTCATTTCCCAGCTGGAAAGGTACAGTTGGGCTGGTCCCCAGGCCTTGGCATCCTACCATCCCGCAGGCTTCCTCCAGCACTCCCCCACCCCCAACTCCTGCTCACCTGCAAGAGTCCTGGGCGAGGAAGAGGAAGCTCAGGCAGATCCTGACTGCCTACCCCAGGGCCGAGGCCTGGCAGAGGAGGCGCTATATTTAGGCAAGGCTGCGGAAACAGACAAAATAGAAAGCACATTGGGCCTTGCACCAGAAAGCTGCCGCAGCCGAAGGCAGTAAGGTCTTCCCTGCACTGGTGAGGTAGAGGGAGTCAGGGACTTGTCTCTTTTTATTTTACTTTACTTATGATTGTTGTAGGGGTTTTCCAGGGTTTGCAAGGCTTTTGCTCTCAGCAGGAGGTGGGTGTCCCTTCCAGGGCCAGGCGGGGCAAGGGCACTGTGCCCTCTGGGCCACCTGGTCTGGGGGAAACACCCCACCAGGGCCCAGAAGGGTAGGGAGCCAGGCTTCCTAGCTGACAGCACTAGGAGCTCGGCCCCCAGAAGGGAGGCCTGGGGGAGCCCAGCCCTTTTGGTGTGCCGCTTGGGGGACTGGGCTCTCTTGAAGGCACCGCCTGCAGGAGGAAGCAATAGGAGGGCGCTGTGGAGGGACTAACACGCCCCATCCGCCTCTTGTCCACAGGTAAAAGTATGGTTTCAGAACCGAAGGACGAAGTTCAAAAGACAGAAGCTGGAGGAAGAAGGCTCAGATTCGCAACAAAAGAAAAAAGGGACGCACCATATTAACCGGTGGAGAATTGCCACCAAGCAGGCGAGTCCCGAGGAAATAGACGTGACCTCAGACGATTAAAAACACAAACCGAACCCCACAGAAACGGACACCACGGAGCAAAACAGACAGGGAGAGGAGGGGTAGAAGAAAAACAAAAACAAGCTACAAAACAAAAACAAACCGCACACACACACACACAGTCACCGAGAAGAGGAAGAGGGAGTCAGAGAGAGTGACGGAGCTTCGCGGACTTTGGGCAGCGAGGCCGCGGGGTCCTGATCCCAGGCTGCACGGAGATGGCAGAGGACGCAGGCTTCTTGATCAACAGGCACCCCTTGTCTAAAGAGGCAGCTGAGAGACAGAGAGCGAGAGAGAGAAAAAGAGTGAGAGAGAGAAAGAGAGAGAGAGTGAGAGGGAGAGAGATCCAAATGTGGCACCGTGGAAGGCGCTCTGAACAAGGGAAGCTGTCAGTCAAACACCAGCCCAGCGAGACAAGATGATTGGCAGGTATTCCATTTATCGCAGTCCTGATTTAAAAAAAAAAATAAATAACGGTAATAATAATGATGGTAGAAGAAAACCCCAACCAGGCACAGGACTTTTTCTTTTGCACTTCGCAGAGTCTCCCCCCCCACCAATCTTTAAAAAATAATTAGTAATACTAGCAATCGAAATTCCGTATCTAGCCCCAACCCACACCTGTTCAAAAACTTGAATTGCATGTTGCAGTTGTTGGGCGAATGGTGTCTAAAGACAGAAAATGAATTGTAATTTTCTTTTCCTTTGAAAGACAGGTTCTGTGTGCTTTTTATTTTGATTTTTTTTTCGAGAAATGTGCAGTCTGTAAACACTTCTTGATACCTTCTGATGTCAAAGTGATTGTGAAAGGTAAATGAAGTAGGCTCCGCGATAGTGGTCCTCTTACGGAGAAATGGGGAGCAGGATGGGGGGCTGGGGGTGGTGGGGGAGGGTGCCCACAAGAGGAGTCAGGACTTGTGCTGGGAAAAACAAAAAACAAAAAACAAAAAAACCCTAAATTAATTCTATTTCTTGAACATTCCCTTTCCTAACATCCTGAAGGCTTAAAACCCCGAAGTAAACTCCTTTTGGTGGTTGGAGAGGTTGGCCAAATTCACCCATTCGCTCTAAAGGCCATTCCCAAACTTTAAATCTATCTGTTGCAAAAACTAAAGGACTGTAGTTAGCGGGGAGGATGTTAAGTGTGGCCAAGGACATGGCGGCAAGTTTTCAAGCACTGAGTTTCTATTCCAAGATCATAGACTTACTAAAGAGAGTGACAAATGCTTCCTTAATGTCTTCTATACCAGAATGTAAATATTTTTGTGTTTTGTGTTAATTTGTTAGAATTCTAACACACTATATACTTCCAAGAAGTATGTCAATGTCAATATTTTGTCAATAAAGATTTATCAATATGCCCTCAGAGTAGTCGTTTGGAGAAATTGAAGTGAGTTTTTTTTTTTTTTTAAGTATCTATAATTTGAGTGTGGTCCTTCTCCAAGGAGGCTCAAGAGACCCAGGCTCCTCACCCACAAAAGGGCCAGACTGATGGATTCTTGGGCATTTTAAAGAGAGATGAGCGTGGAAAAGGGAGAGGATTAGGAAAACTTAAGTCCTGCAGAAAAGGGATGGGAGGAAAGTTTTCCAACCAGACTTTGCCCATTGCAAGGCTCCCTGAGAGAGTTTAGTTTGAATTTCAGGTTAAAAAATGCTTACTTCTCTTAATTTCTAGTTGTTGTTGTTGTTTTAATCTGGACACATAGTTAAGCATTGAAGAATATTCCCCTAGGATTGGAGGAAACACTTAGCAGAATCCGAATCCTAAGACTTTTAAACTGTGCTTCTGACTTCAAACCCCGAAGTACAGGCTCCTCCCCTGCCACCAGTTTTTTCTTTCCTTCCCATCCTTCCTTTCCTCCCTCTTTCCCTTCCCTCCTCTCCCTCCCTTCCTTCCTTCCTTCCTTCTTCCTTCCTCCCTTCCCTTCCTCTCCCCTCCCTTCCCTTCCCTTCCTATCCCCCTCCGGATCTTGCTTGCTTGCTTGCTTCCTTCCTTCCTGTCGGGACCCAGTCTGAGGGCAAGCACAAGGCCCTCAGCAGCCTTATAAGGCAAGCATTCCGAGAAACCTTCAACTCTTAATTTTAACGTTAAAGAAAAAGTTGTAACCAGTCTTGGAGGAAACTTAGCTTTTTTTCCCCTCCTCCTTCCCCCTTCTGGGGGTACGAGGTTGTTTTTGCATGCTTCATTTGCTTCTTATCCTGATAGGCTGCATTAATCAGTTTTATTTCCATTGATAGAGAAACCTCGTCTGTTCTGTTCAAGCTACAAAGCGTCCTGCGAGCTTTTGTGAAAGTGCAAATCAGTTTAAGCAATTATCATACCAGGAATATGAAGGGGAAAGAGGAGGCCTTGCCCAGTGGTCTCCTTTAATCTCTTAATCCACGGATCCAGGGGGGCCGCCTGGACATAATTTAGGACAATCTCCCCACCCTTTACACTGTGATAAGGCCAAGTTACAATGCAGGGCAAAAATACAAGCTTTGTTAACACCCTGCCTTGAAAAGTTAAGATTAGACATTCCGTGCACGTGTGGGGACTATAGGGCACTATGGAAATTTTTCTTTCTTTCTTTTTTTTTTTTTTCTCTTCCCCTCTTCTCCTCTAAAGTAGAATTCATTCTTGGTTTCTCTCCCCCTCTCTCTCTTTTTTCTTTCTTCTTTATCTCTGCCTGTCTCTCCTTTATTCCTCCGTCTCGGTTCCTCTGGAGAACCCTGGCTGTCCATGGCACGTTTTCACGCAGGCTGCCCTAGGAAGGTGTATGTATTTTGGGGGACACTTGCTTGCAGGACGATGCTGGGGGGAAGCAAGCTGCCAGGAGAGTTCCAGGCTTGCTTCTCAAAGGGACAGGTGCTATCCTGGGTATCCTGGAAACTGAAGTTGGCTTTCCAGATGCTTTGACAGCGAGACCTCCCTGTCGGATGGCCGTCCCGAGTGCGTTGCAGTCGCCGCTACAGAACCACAGAACCTCTTCCCTTTTTCTTAAACAAGTTACCTTTTCCTTCCACTCATTCCCCCAAACGCAGAATGCCTCAAACACAGAGCACAGCCATGTCGAAATTCCAACTGGCCTTTCCAGAAAAAAAAAAAATCCCCATCTTAATAAAAGGCTTATTTCTGCAGAAACTATATACTTTTTTTAAGTACAAGAAAACGGAGAAGGTGACCAAGATTTTTTTTTTTTTTTTTTTTTTGGTAAACGTCCTATGTAGTGTAACAGCAATAAAATCATCAGAGAATACCATTAGCTTTGAAAAAAAAAAAAACTAAAAGCTTTATTACAAACCAAGCTTTGAAAATAGGGGGGATTAGGCGGCTGAAAGGGTCCCACAATGGTAAGAAGAAAAGGTTTCATGCTAATGAGGTTAATGCCCTTTGTATCTCAGGCCTCCACATCTTCATTACGCGCTATCTCCGGCTGCACGGAGCGGCTCAGAGAGCCGCAATCCACTCCAACGCCCCCCTTCCAGGCCCAAAGAAGGATTTGATAGCAGCTCTGTTCAAACTAGATAATTATATCTTTTCAAGTCGGAATTAAGATAAAGAAAGTGAAGCAGAGGCGGCTCGCCTTGATCCACTGCAAACAAATTTGGCGCACTTTCGAGTCCTTCCCCCGCCTCAAAAAGGCAGGACAGTCAGCTTATTAGCCGCTCGTTTGCTTTATTAATTCATCTATTTAAAGTGGCAGGATTAGAGCGTCTAATGTGGACGCGGGCTGCCGTGGCGTTGAGGAATATAAATATTTGCGAGATGCCATCCCACGATGACTATCTGGGCGCGGGGCGCAGGGCGCGAGACAGGGTGCGGGGCGCGTGGCCCTCGCGGTTGCAGTGAGCACTCCGCAGTGAGCGCACACGGGACTGGAGCCCTTTGGGCTGGGGTACGTGGAGCTGTGTGCCCGAGATCTGCGTACGCCTGCGTGGTATACGGGTGCCAGGCCTAGATGCCCCTGGAAGGGCTCTACGGGCATCGAGGGGCAGGTCCTGCGTTTTTCCCTGCACATGGCGGAAGTGCACGAGTGTTGCCTTGTGTCCCGCCTGTTACCCCGAACGGGGATATGGGTTACGTTTGCATCCTGCTCCCTTGTTGATTACTGGCGGGCATTTCCCGTGTAGCCCCCTGTGCCAAGTGGATTTGGGGTGGGTTGCGTTACCCTGAGAAAGTCAAGCGGAGTGTATGGTGCCAGTGTGCACCCTAGGTTCTCCCGCCAGGTATCCGTGGACTCCGTGTGCGTTTCTTGCTAGGGGTCCTACTCCTCCGCAGCCAAGGGTCCCGTACGCAGGCGCGGGGCGGGAGGGGTCGGGGTCGGGCTTTTTCGAGGCACCAGAAACTCCTGGGGGTGGGAGAAGCCTTGGGACCTCCAGGAGGTTCCCCCTTTCTGCCTTTCCTTCTGGGTGTCCGGTGCCCCCAGCTCCCTCCGTCGCTGCTCCTGGCAGCCGAGCCGAGCCGGAGCGGGAGCGTTGGCGGCGGCCCGGAACCTGCCGGGCCACTTTTGTGCTAGGGGCGGATTGTGGCAGGCAGACATCCGCGCCAAGTGGGCCTGGCAGAAAGGGGGCTCGGGCCTGCGCTCGGCTCTGGAAACCTCGGCTCCTCCCCGTCCCCGCCTCAGAGTCGCAGGAAACAAAGTCTCCGGTCGCGCAGGCCGACTGGGGAGGGACCCTGGCGGCTCGGCCCCGGGCCCCGCTCCGCGGTGGGGGCATCTGGGCTGGGCTCCCCGCCCGTGCGCAGTTTCAAGTCGAAATAAGCGGGTGGAAGTCCCTAGAATGAGAGGCTAGGCTCGTGTGTTTGTGTAGGTGGAGCGCCTGAGTTAGGTCCGTGGAACAGTTGTGTTCGTGCGGAGATGTGATTGAGTGTCTCTGAGCCAGGACTTAAGTCGGGATATGATGTGTAGGTGCTGAAGGTGCTAAGGGCATGTTCGAGGCCGAAGAGCTCAGTGCTGCCCATTGTGGGTTGTGTGAGCGTGTCAAGGTGTCCGGCTTGCCCTGGGCATCGACATTATATCGAGGTGGGGCGAGGACGGGCAGTTGCGTGGCTCTCTTGTCTGCGGAGGTGGAGAAATGCACTTTCTGTAGGGAGCGTGTGTGGCAGGGTCCGCTGGCAGAGTGCGCATCTGGGAGTTCGGCTCTAGTTGTGGATCGCAGGCAACGGGAAGGCCCTCAGCCTGTGTGTGACCCGCAGGAACATTTCTGTATGTTTGGGTGGAGGTCCCCGAGCGCCGGCGTCCCTACCCTGCACCGGGGCAGTTTTTGTTCGCCTCGCAATCTAGGCGCGTGTGTCCCGCCAGAAGCCTGGGTTCACGTATTGTTCCTACAGCGCACCCCTCGCCCCGGAGTTTGGTAAAAAACAGCCGGTTTGGGGGGATACCTGCACATTTTTCTAGGCCTGCCTTTATTATTCCCGCAATCAACCTTAGATTTCCTTGGGTGCCGCCTCGGGGCGGCGGCGGGCGGGCGGGCGGGCGGGGGCAAGGGGCCTGTGAAGTCGGGGTGCGGGGAGGCCGGGCTGCGGAGGCCGCTGGTGTAGGCCCAGGGCTCGGCCGCCGGATTTACCTCCCCCAACCAAACCCGCAGCGAGGGGGAAGTGGGAGTTTTGAGAACCCGCTGACCCCAGCCGTGACCCCGCTCCGGGAGGCAGCTTCTCCTGGAGCGATCCTGTACGCCAGGAAACCCGAGGCGGTGCCACGCTTGAAAGCGAAAGGTCCATTCATCAGCCGCGTCCCGGCGTCTAATTGGCCTTTTGTTCATTAGTGCCTATTGCCCAGCGGGAGTGGGAAGGGGGTTTGGGAGGGCCCAGGGGGCTGCGAGCAGGGGTGCTTGGCGCCCCGGGCCCGGGGTCGGGGGAGGGCAGGGCGCGTCGCACTCCTCCGAGGGGGCGCCAGAGCGCGCCAAAGATCGCGCGCACGTGCAAGGATGCTCGGCGGGAAGCCGGTCTTCTAGACTCGCGGCGGGGTCCTCCAAGTTGCCGGGGGCCCACCGCCCCTTCCTTGCCCTCAACTCCACCCGCAGACCCAGCCCACATCTTTACTCCGCACCCTCGGGATTTCAGACAGGCCTTCCTGCCTCTCGAGATTTCCCAACTCGGGCACTGACTGGCCTTGGCGCTGGGCTGGGCTCACGTCCTGCCTTTCTTCAGGCTTCTAGAGTTCTTTGGCCCTGGTCTTGCTGCCTACCCAGAGCGACTCTGGGTTCCCCTCCCTAGTCACCAGCACCAACACAGTCCTGTCGGGCGTGCCGCGCTTCTCTGGATGGGAAATTGAGAGAAAATTTTGGCGGGGCAAGGAGTTAGGAGTTACAATGCCCCAGTCTTCTGGGATCAGATGGAAGAGGAACCCCAAGCCTCCAGCGCTCCAAATTCTAGCTGTTTCTCCAAA